ACTAGAAAGAAAAAGCAAGTCATGTATCAGGACAAGGAGAAAACAAGGGATTTCTCAACATCAGACTGGAAGCTAGAAATCAACAGAGCAATACTTTTTAAATTCTGTATGAAAATTATTTGCAACCTCTATTCAAATTATTGGTAAATGACACTTTAGAGCCCATGTTGGCTCAAAAGTTTCTACCCATTTTTTTCTTAGAAAGCTACTAGAAAATGTGCTCCTACAAAATAAGAGAAAGATGATAACTGAGAAAGATGATAACCTGCGATCCAGAAAACAGGAGTGCAACAGGGGAAGCAGAGAATATACAGCTTTCTATGTGAGTGACAGAACGGAAGGCTCTGGGCTGGGTAGGGGAAAAAAAAACAATTTCTTTGTAAATATGGGAAATACTGATGAGTGCATGTAATTATGTTATGAAAATGGGGGACAAGTAACAGTGGGTACATACCAAAAAAAAAGGTAGATTTAAAAGGCAATTACTTATTTTAAGAAAATGGAGAGGAATGATAGCAAGGAATAATATTTACACAGTCTAAACATAAATCCTGACTATTAAGTTAACCAAAAATTGTGTTTTTCAAGGCAAGCAGAGAAAGAATAATACCTCAGTTAATAAGTAATGTCTAAAATTGCAAAGTCTAGATATAGCAATGAATGTTATTTAGAAATACAGATGTCAATAATTTGGAGGAAGATGAAACTGAGGGTTGAAAGGTATTTTTTATGAGTACTACTGATTTCTGAAACTTTATTTCTTCTGTTACAACTTCTGATAAAATACTTTCTTATTAAAACAGTCTGGCCAGTATGTGAAAGTGGATATAAAGAAAAGATGGGCTGGAGTAAAGACTGGTTAGGAAACTTAGGCAAGCTAAAGGTAGTGGTGGTGGTGGTGGTGGTGGGAACAGTGGTGGACAGCAGCACAGTGATCACAGAAAACTATTTTTTAAGGTGACAAAACAGAAGATTTGTACAAGGGAGAGGAGGTGGGCAAGAAGCAGGTATTAGAAATTAAGAGTTCTGTTTTAGATGTATTAAATTTGAGACACTTACTAGAGCTCCAAGTTGAGTTATTAACAAAAGTTTGATACCTGAGAGCTGGAGATAAAAATTTTCCAGTGGCCAGACACCATGGCACATGCTAATAATCCCAGCACTTGGGAAGCTGAGGCAGGCAGACCACTGCAAGTTTGTTGGAGCCCAGCCTGGGCTACATAGTGAGTTCAAGGCCAGCCTGAACCACACGGTGAGACCCTGTCTCAAAATACAAAAACAAAAGGTAAAAAAAAACCCAAAAACATTAGTCATTAGCTATAGCTGGTATTTAAAACCTCTAGAACTGGGTAAAATATGATAGGGAGAGGTGGCACACACCTATAATCCCAGCACTCTAGAGTTTGAAGACAGCTGGGCTATGTAGTAAATTACAGGCCACCCTGAACTACACAGCAAGACCCTGTCCCCCAAAAAATAATGGTAAGAGAATAGGTAGGAGAGAAAATAGAAATATATTTTGGGGGTATGTGGTTCAGGGTTGGAGCAACTGGCTAGCATACACCAGACTCTAGGTTTAATCCCTAGTACCACTACAAAAAAACCCCACTATCATACATATATATTTATACATTACAGAAGGATAATAGAAAAATAATAGAAAAAACTGAATACAGTATGCATATTTTTACATAAAGGCAAATACTAGTTTACAAACTTTCTATTTCAGAGATGACAGGTAGATGTATATATAAACGTTGACATGTATAATTTATATACTTATGAAAGTAATGAAATAATGTATTTCCCATTATAAATCATGGTCCAAAAGGTTAAATTCTAGATGAGAAGCAGGAAAAGATAACTAGTCATTATGGAAAGAAAAACACCATGGAAATGCAGAGTATAAAAACCAGAAGAAATGGTTCTCAGACAGAGCACTCAACTCTGCAAGAATGGCAATGACCCGGACAATCAACCTTTGATTAGGACTAGGGGCAATTCCCCAGGAGACCACTTGTCACTGACCTTGACAAGGGCAGCTTCAGTGAACTGTGGAGGATGGAAACATCTTAGAAGGAAAACCTCCCTAAATTTGAAAATCAGAATTCACTACATGAAAGAGCCTGTCAGATCTGAAACTAAGCTATGATTCCTCCTGGCAGACACCATCATACAGTCTGATTTCAGAGCCTAGAGGGCACTCAACACTCGGTGTGCAGAACTGACTGCCATCAGAGAACAGAGGACCCAGCTCAAAGGGCATAGGCTCTCAATCTGAACCTCTATGTTTGGATGTAAGGAAGGGGAGTCCATGAAATCTGACATAGGGAGGAAAAAAGTACACTTGTACATTTTTCTAACTGTTCACAGCATTCACCAGATCTTCACAAGGCTTGTGACCACCAGAAAGGTAGGAACAATTGTCTTATGGGCAGCTGCCTAAACTATCCAGCTATTCCCTACATTCAGTCAGTGCTGAAGACATTGGTACTGCACACTGAACAGTGACCCTTCTTCCCCTGGCAAATTCATATGTTGAAGTCCTAACTCCCAATGTGACTGCATTTGGAGATAAGGCCTTTAAAGGCATAACTAATGTTATGTTATTATAGACATAATAAAGGTAGGAGTATTACAGGCAGACAGGGCAAGCGCCCCAAGTCAGTGCAGAAGATAAGAACATTACAACTGTGGCTGGAAGTGCATTCACTGAAGGTCAGGCTTCAAGACAAGAGAAATGACTACATCCACATACTTCCCCTAGGGATGAAGAGCAGGGACTGATATTCTAAATAAGTGTCAATCACCTTGGGTGGGGACCAAAACCTCCCCTGCCCATTCCTTCCTGGAATGTCCTTGTATCTGTTCCATGTAGGCTTGCTTACTACAAGACTTGCTTTCCCATTTGATCCCCATTTAATCAATATTCCCTAAGCGACTGTACTTGTGATCTTGTTGGCTGACCACAGTTTTGTCCCACCATGTGATTTTTCCACTGGATCAATATTATCTTCTTAGTTGACTATAGTTTTGTCCCACCTTATCCCCGCCTCACCTCATGGTTTTGCTCTATAAAACTCCTTTGAAAAGCAGAGTCCCCGGGAAACCCACATTTCCAGGACCCCTTCTGTCTCTCTTAGAGCTATCTTTCTCTCAAAAACTACTTTCTGCTCTTAACCTCTGTTGTTTCTAGAATCCATTCTTTGATTTTAGAGAACAGGAACTCAGTGTATCGGACATCTAGCAGGTTGGGAGTATACTGTTTGGAGGTCCATATCATACGCTCTATATCAATATAAGGTCATAAGGGTGAGGGCCATAATACAGTGACTGGTGTCCTCTCAGAAGAGAAGAAAGTCCACATGAAGGTACAGGGAAAAGATGGCTATCACTAAGGCAAGGAGAGAGCCCTCAGAAGAAAATCAGCCCCGATCACACATTACCTCAAGAGTTCAAGCCTCCAGGAATGTGAGAAAATGAAGTTTTGTTAATACCACAGACCCAGTCTGTCGTATTTTGGCCGTGGCAGCCCTAGCAAACTAATATAGCAACCTAGTTTCTTAATTCTTAACTCCTTCCCTTCTCTCAAGCCCAGGTCCCACTCCAGTCAAAACAAGAGGCTGGCTACCTTACTCCATTAGGTCAGCAACAAGAAAATCTTTTTGGACTACTTCATGAAACTATTAGTGCTTGCCCATTCCAAACAAAACAAGGTGTTATACTCCACCTCTCTTATTCCATGTTTCCTGAAACTAAAGGCACCTTTAGAAATTGAGTATAAATATATAGTCAAATAGCTCTTGAGAGATGAGTAAGGGGGTTGACTTCTGATGTCTCAAAGTAAGTTTAGCAACTATTCTATCCAAGGTATGGTCTGTCTGAATGTCAGATCCCCGTGTCTAGGCAGCTTGTAGGTCCAAATTTGAAAGGATAAGATATTTCACCACATGCAAATACATCACAAGGATCCATTTTCCTTACTTAAAGAAACTTAAACACCTACAATCAGACCAAAATGGTGACCTCACAAGCATGAAGTTGAGAAAGGTTATTCAACTATTTTATCTCATTAGAAAAGCTTTTTAGGTCTGGTGTCGCTGGAGAACAACCCAAAAAACACAAAACACCATTTAGGGTTGGTGGTGCATCTCAATGGAGGAATATGTACTTAGCAAGTGTGAATTCTGGGTTCCATGCACCAAATAAAAATTAAATAACATACAATACACAAGCTCTCTATAGTATTTATTACCAATTCTCATCAACTGCTGCATCAGCCTGAACCCATAATTCAGTCTTACAAACAAATGTTCGCAACTGCTCAGCCTCTTTTCTGACACCTGTGGTTATCAGTTACCGTGTATAAAGAAAAAAACATCTAAAATTTTGCTAACATCGCTTTGAAAGAGAGTTTAGCCTACTCCCATTCCAAGAAGAAAATTACCCACAGTAAACAAAATAGCACCATTGTTGAGAACAGAGAGTTAGGTTACCTGACCCTGGAAGTTTAATATAGCTGCTGTTTCTAAGTTCTGCCTGTTCTCAACACCTCTGCTCGGAATTTGGCTGAAGAACTCGAAGTAAACAATTTCACGTGTTCTGAAAACGGAAGTGTGTCCCAATCCCTGATTAAACAGACAGTGAAACCTCCCATTACCATTAGGGTCAGAACATGTCAAAAAGAAAAAGGAGTAACCAATCACTTCCCCTTCGAGCACAGACCAGGGTCACAATCTGGGCAGACAGTGGCAAGGAGAGCAGTGAAGGGCAGTCGCTGAAGATACCGGGTTTCCCGTGGAGTCAAGATGCCCAGTCCTGGATCCTGCCCTGTCCTTCTCCAGGATGTCAGCCGGTCGGGGGCGCATCTCCTGGAAGCTCACTCGTGGGAGGTAAGGGGCCAACCGAAGATTGGTTTGCGGACGAGACCGCACCGGCGAGCCAGGGACCCGAGCTCAGCCGGCGCGTGGAGCTGCCCCGCGACGGACGCCCTCACTCACCGCACACCATCAGCAACAGGACGATCAGCAGCGTGGCCACGAAGACCAGCAGGGTCAGCCCCACACTGTGCCACATCTTGGCGGCCTCAGGACGCGGGCAGCACGCGGGCTTCAGCTGTGGTTGGCGCGGCCCCGGGGCGGCATGGGCGGCGGGCGCCCCTCGGCAGCGCCCCCCAGAGGTGGCACGGAGGCGGGAAGTGCACCACGACCGGTCCCCGACCCTCCTTCTCTCGGGGGCGGACGGAGCGGGGCGCCCCTACCCCCTCATCGTTCTGGGGAGCCGGGGCCGCGGCGCCCGGAGACCCCGGCGGTGGCCGGATGCGCTTCCATGGCGGACGCTGTGCGTCTGAGGAGAGGGCAAGCACGAGGACGCACGGCAGCCACAGGGCCCTGGCTGCCGCCCGCGAGAGAATCCCTCGGTCCCAAGGGACGCCTGATAATCTCTCCTGTCGGCGGTCGCAGCTGCGACTCGGACCCAGGCCCTCCTCCCGGTGAGGGAGCTCATCACCAAGCGCCCCCTCCGCTCGCCTCCGCCTCGGCGCGAGGGTGGCTGGGAGATGGAGTGCGGAGCCCGACGGAGGCCGCAGGGGGCCGCTTCGCATGAACTACAACTCCCAGAATGCCCCGTCGCTCGGGGCTTCGCGACTCCCTCCACCCCCTGAGTCTTTGGGCTCTCTCTGCCCGGCGCTCTTTCTGGGGAGTACGGACTAGTGGCCTCACAACGTGCACTGTAGGCTCTCATGCACTGTGCCGAGGCTCCAGTGAGATTTCAACTCTTGCTTGGCTCACGGGGTCGTTTTAAGTACACAGAGGTAAGAAAGGGAGGTGGCTGCCTGCAAAACTGGTTGCACGTGAACCCAACCCTATTGCCTGGAGCGAAGCTTAGATACTTGGGACTTCGGAGGAATTGCGTCCTTGATCAAGATAAGGTTCAGGGCCAGAACTGACCTTTTCCCTCAGCAACAGTTGTTGTGTTCTGTGTTTTCCTAGGTAACGTATTTCAGAAATGACTGGCGGGTCACTTAAGGACATCTGCTGTCCCCTTAATTCACCTACCAGAATTGGGAGTTTGATTCAGTTGCTTTCTTGAAACCAAGCGACACGTGACCCACAGCTGAAGATTTCGCCTCACTCGAACAAACGTCTGTGAAACAAGACACTTTAATAATCTCAGCTACTGGACCTCCGTTTGAAATTAAAACTCGCCATTTCTGCCAGATTACATTCATTCGTGAAAACAGTGCCCCCAGAAAAGGATAGGTGTGTCCCTCTTTTAGGAGGAATCAGAGCCTTCACATTTTCCTGACTCTGTTGCTCCCTGCAGTACTTTTCTGTTCCCTGTTTTCTATCTGCAAAAACATATTTTAAGCAGCAGTTCCTTGATTTAATAAATATTGGCTATTCCCCACTGCCTTAGTGTATGAGCTGGATTCCCCATGAAACAGCATTGTGAACAAATACTGTATATGAAAATAAGCAATAATTACTTTTTTTTGCAAAAGATTTAATAATGTTCCTGTGAAGAGAGAATGAGCCCAGTGCAATTAAGATAATATTTAGGAAAATATCAGTTTATGCTTTTTTCATAGATGATTCAATTCTGTTGCATAAATAAAACACATTTTTAAAAAAATATGGTTAAAAGACAGAAGAACTGAAAGAAATTATTTTAAGACTTCAGTCTTCTCTTTCATTTGCATACCTGTATGGAATACCTGCAGATCTCAGGCACTGTTCTAGGTGCTGGGGTTACAGCAATGAATAGGGTAAACAAGGTGCCTATGCTTAAGATGCATATATTATAGTTAAGAGGATACAGACAACGAGCATAAATAGGGAAAGTGCAGGAACTGCGAATTCCTGGAATGAAAATAAGCAGGATAGTATGGTGAAGACAGAGGTGTCACTTTAGTTTGGGGAGGCTGGGGAAAAGGTACCAGAGAAAGTGACATTTGATCTAAGCTCTGAATGATGAAAAGGATCCAGCCATGGGAAGTCCTCAAGGAAGAGATTATGAGGTAACAGGAGCAGCTTGTACAAAAGCCACGAGGAGCACACATACTTGGCAGTTCCCTAAGTCTTGGCAGAGTTTCTCAACTCTGGATGCACATTTGGAATCCCCTAGGGAGATTTAAAATTACACCTGGGCAGTTCTCATCCCATACTGAATGAATCTGAATCTCTAGGGGCAGATCCCAAGCGCAGTAGTTTTTAAAAGCTCCTGTTCTAATGTGCACTATGAAGCTGTGGGTCTCAAATAATGATCTCCAGGTCAGCAGGGCTTGTTAGAACTGCCCCGGAACACCTAATGAATCTGAAAATCCACAGTAATCTAAGAGATAGTGGCTTGGATTAAGGCAGTCATCACTGGAGTTGGTGAAAAGTGAACAGATAAGGTATACATTTTGGAAGGAAAATCATCAGGATTAGCTCATGGATTAGATGTGGAGAGGGGATGAGGGAAAAGAGGAATCAAAAAATTATTCTCAGATATGGAGAAAAGGGAACCCTTATGTGCTGTTGGTGGGGATGTAAATTAATACAGCCATTGTGGGAAACAATATGGAAGTTCCGCAAAAAATTAGGAACAGAGCTACTATATGATTCAGCAATCCCACGGCTGTGTATATTCAAAGAAATGAAACAGTGGAAGAGACATCTGTGTTCCTATGTTTATTGCAGCACTATTCACAATGGTCAAAATACAGAATTAACCTAAGTGTCTGTGAACAGATAAATGTGGTATATATGCACAAGAGGGTACTCTTCAGCCATGAAAAAAGGATGAAATCCTATCATTTGCAACAACATGGTTGAACCTGGAGGATATTATGTTTAGTGAAATAAACCAGGAACAAAAAGACACATATGACATGATTTTATTCATATTGCCTAATCTTAATATAAAAGTATTAATCTAATAGAAATAGAAAGTAAATTGGTGGTCACCAGGGAAGGGGGTAGTTGGGGGAATAGAGCTGGGAAGATGTTGGTCAAAGGATATAGAATTGCAGTTAGATAAGAAGAATAAGTTTCAGAGATTTATTGTTTGTACAGTGATTACCATGACAGTATATTGTATTCTAATAGAGATTTTGCAAATGGGAAGAGGACCAAGAGTTGGAAGGGGAGGGTCGGAATGAAAACAAGAATTAATATATATTGTGTACATGTGGGGACTTTATGAGTTTATCATTACTCAGAGGCCCCATCTCTTAATACTACCACATTGGGTATTAGGGTCCAACATACGAATCTTTTGAGGATACCAACATTCACGCCAGAGCAGTGGTTAATTCCTTTCATGACAAGTAAGTTTGCTTCTGTGCCTATATATGCCTCGTTTCCATATCTGAGTGTTAAGGAGGGAACACTTACTCCTTCCCTGCTATTTCCTTCCTTGAGGGAGAAAGCTCCCCTGGTGTAATACCACGTCAGGTCTTCCTATGCACATTTATTCCCTCTGTCTCCAGTCAGAAGAGGAATGATTTACCTAACTGGTACACCTAAGAGAAGTAATCAGCTTGCTGAACTCCACTTCTCCATGTTCTTCTTAAATACGAGCTGCCTTATCCATGAAGACCACTTGCATGGGAATCCCCCCTCACACCCAGCTACCTTAATTTAGGGTTTAATTAACAGGCTTGGCTGGCTCTCACATTTATGTGTTTCCTAACACAGCATTTATTATTATTTTTTAAATTTTATTTTATAAGTCTTTATCAAGTTAATTATAAATACAGATTAACAGTAAGACTAGGAAGCTAAAAACCATAAAAATACATAGGTACACTTTTAGGTACATTGTCTATGATGGATTAAATAACATTTTTCTCTCTCTTTTTTTCCTGATGTCTATTTTATATATTTTTTCCCCTTTGGCAATATATATATGTATTTTTTTCCAATTAAGTGTATTGGTACATTTTTGGTATAAAACGCGGTTACATTCATCATTGGGATCTTGTACCTTTACATGAGTATCTTGGTTCTTATTTTTTTCCCCTTCCCTTGCCCTCCCTTCAACCCCTCCACCCCTCCCTATTTGCAAAGACCTTGTTTCCATTGTTTTTCCTCTTCTCATATGTTTTCCTTTCCCTTTTTTCCCTTCCCCTACCCCTCCCAATTCCCCTGGTCTTTTAGACCTTTTCTTCCTGTTACACAATATCAGTTATACATTTTTAAAATCACAATATTAAAATCTAGGAGACATTACCACAGATTTTACAGAATTTAAAAGGATATAGAAAGCATATTACAAAAATCTTTTTT